CGCGTAGGTGTTTCGATAAAACTACCGCACAGCGTATCCTAATCAAATTTGAAAGCTGGTTTTAGCCTTGTCTGCTAACGTTGCTAATGAGCCAACAAGTGGATAATAATACAAGCAATATTATTGCCAACAAATAATACTATTGTTCCTTTAGCATAAGGGGAAAGTATTTTCGGATTATAAACTATAAGATGTAGACGTAATCCCAAGTCATCAGAAGTCCAATGGAAAAAATCAAGGCGTTATGATATCCTGGAGATACATGATGCATTCCTAATCCAATGTATCCATCGACATCAAGTAGTTATCTGACACTTTGACGTGCATACGAGTCGTATTGCAAGTTGACTCAATTCAATCAGACAGTGAACTGCAGTAGTATAGAGTATTTCCCGAAGTCAAGTTTATAATTGGGTAAATATCAAGTTACAACTCAAATGTCACGTTAAGGTTTAACACGTTGGATTGTAAGAGCTATTATATATTTACTAGCTATGACAGCCTAAATCGATAGATCAATGTATACTTTTACACGTTACTGCGCTTAAGTCGCTGACACAACTGCATACAAGTACGCTAATGCTAGACTATCCAATATTCAAGTTAAAAGATACACTTCAAAACTAAACAAATACTACTACAGTAAAGTGTACATCGAAGCACCATGACTTCTATTAATTTGTTATTACGCAGAAATTACGGACATAAGGCAAATGAATCATATTTTTAAATTACAATAGCTGTTTCTGCTTCTTAGTTAGCGGTTTTATACAATACTATGCCATTCTTGTTATAAAAAATCAAATGAAGTTAAATTTCGATCTATTTATACATCATGTAATACTTCAATATTTCACGTCTAATGGCGATAAAACTACAACATAGAAAATATAGCCATTCTAGTTTATTGATTATTGTAAGCAAGCCAACAAGAAATTAAATTAGGACCATCGATAAATTAAAAATTTTAAAATTTTTAGTATTTAATTGACATTTTTAATACTATAGTATAACGCTGTGTAAAACTGACAACCATCTATAAAATTAAGAATGTTAATCCAAATTACTATTAGTTTGCTGGGAAGTTTAAAGTTTACTTGTAAAATCATCGTAAGCTGAAAAGTAACTAAGCTTGTATTGTATTCCCTGTTTTTGAAGGGTTATCTGTTAGGATAGTTAAATTAATTTAGAAGAGTAATTTAAGAAGGTAAAGGCATTCTATAATAATTTTGTCTTGGCGCATATTTTATAAGTTCAATTTAAATGTACGATAAATTATAAGCTGTATTGAAGATGGCTTTGAGGATAGGCTGTTTGCACTCTAGAAATTTTGTTCGTTGTTCTTTGACAGAATGATGTCATTCCTACCAATAGTTTGCAAAGCCCGCTGCAATCGGCTAATGCTAACATTGGGATGTGCCTTTTTGTACCAGTAATTGAGCAATTCCATTGCCTGGTTAAAGACATGGTCGCGATTTTGTTCCATTATAACCTTAACACAAATCGTTGGATCTAGGATGGCCGCTAACTGTGGCCAGTCTGTGCCAATAGAGCTTGCAATAGGGTGAAAATACTTCCTAGGATCTATATAGTACAAGTAGAAACTTTACTATGAAGTACTATACGAGTATGTTGTAACAATTTCAATTGCAAATAAATTACTTGATTTTACATGATATAAAGTACAATATTTACATAATGAGCTCTTATGTCGCAATTAGAGTTGAATAATCATCTGGTTCGCTATAATTATTTATGTAATGGTAATAATGGCATTAGCGATAGCACAGGTGGAACTGTACTTCTATTGTAAGACTAATAGAAATAAATGGCTCTAATTCGAATTTGAATAACTCTGTAAACGAACTACTTACTGGACAAACAATGTACAAATAAATTAAGATTGAATATTTTTTAATTCATAAATCATTATTTATTATGTTCAGTAGCTTACTAGTAGCAAGAATATTTTAATGACGATCTTAAAAATTCGTCAGTGATATCATTATCTAGTAAAACTGTATGCGATCATATCATCAGTGGCAAACGTAGCTTAAAGAATTACATCCATTGACGAGGTAAGGTATTCCTATGTTAGAATTTACACGAAGTAATTGCTCTTAATCATATTTGAATCGATCTACAATTGGATTACTAAATGCAATTGAGAATGATTGATAGATATCAATTCAATAGAGGTTTACCTTCATCTTTGGTATCTGTCCATCGGTCTAAAGTAGTGGAATAAAAATAGTAATAATCGATTAATAGTTCTATCGTTTAAGTAATCAATGCAGTAGATTAGTGCCCATAATTTTTGATAATAATCAACTATTGTTTACGCTATTACAAAATCACCTTATATTAAATAGTAAAATAGCTATGATACAGTACATTTATGTCTCTTTGCTTGCTCTATCGTATGAATTTAGTTTATGATATCATAAAAAGTGATAATATAAGAATGAAGCTGCTGTTTATTCTCACATGCTTACCTATCCAGAATTTTTCATTATAAATCATCCAATCGTTTAAAGATTGACTGGCAAATTCCATCTTACAATGCTTACATCGAATCCAATTTTGATCTCCTTCCTTGTATTCTTCAGTTATACTTGTTTGTGTATTACATTCACTACATTTGACGAAATATCGACAATCGGCCCCTTTAAACTTAACCATCCTATCATTGACAGTGGAGATGAGTTTATTCTTGACAATTTCGTGAGGCCGTTTGACAAATATAGAATTTTTAACTTTATCGATAATCGATTGACTCCTCTTGAGCTCATTTATTTTCTGATAGCAATATTGTAAACCGATATGAGATTCCTCTTTCCTGACTACAAGATAGTGATTGTCATTTGCTAAATAATATTTGGCACATTGATAGTATAATTCTACGTCCGTATTATTCCATTCCTTTAAACAGGAAGATAACAAGCAATAATAAATTCCATCTGGAAGATATGGAATATCTGTATGCTCGTATCCGATGTAGAGCCAATCTGATTGATGATATTTTGATAAATCGAATGGCTTAACATCATATCGTAACAAGTATGGAACAAAGTATTGACATTCTTCGCCGTTGTCGTTCTTCTCATTTGTAATTGAACATAGAATATCATAAGCATGCATGAGTGCCAATATAGTTTGCTTACTATTGTCATCTAAATTAAATTTATAAATAGCATGATCAATGTATGATCTTGATAATTTTCCTGTTTGGCTTGCTATATCATAGTCACGTTTTATTTGTGCACTTCCTTGTACAAAATCTTGTAATTGAATAATGGAACGAAATATACTTAACAACCAATCGACATTAGTTATAATAATTCCGTCGTCGCCTACTTTATCACAGTAGATGACTTCTCCTAAATCGTGTAGATACATTAGCATAGCGATTAATTCATCACGGTTTTCATATAATCCGTATTGTTGAGACAAGGTTACTATTTGTTGCATTGTCATAATATTATGCACTTGAGAATGTCTAATTTGATTCATAATAGAAGATGCGGGTTGATTGTTAGTAGGGAGCGATTTATTTAATATTGTAGCCATGATATACCATCGAATAGGTATAGGATTCGTAATAAATGGCAGTGATTGTACAAATGCCTTAATGATACCATGTAAACGAAGACAACATTGTTGACGCAGCTTCTGTGTCGATGGAGTACTATCAAGAGGATTGCAATCAAAAATAACACCAGAAGAATAGATATGACTGGCATAAGAAGGCATGCGAGACGTCAATGTAGACACAAATTGATTGAATCGAGTTCGTCCATCTTTTTCATTGGTGATACAATCGCCATGAGAAGCTACTAAAATAATAATAGGTAATGAATGCTGTGAAGGTGGTAAATGCTGTTCATCTTCACTTTTAATGTTGACATTGATGGTACTTTGGCTTGTATGGCCAGCTATGATTGATGTAAGCCATTCTTGCATAGCTTGTAAATACGTCGTTTTGAGTAATTTGTTCTTCCTTGTTCTTACCTTGTCGTTAATGTCTTGCTTAATATTAAATACTAAAATATAAATACTATTGACGGAGATAAAGGGATAATGAGTAACATGATAGACGGCATGACCTGCGAAATCCCATATTTTAACATACTGATTTTTATCATCTTTGTCTGCATTTTGACTTTCCATGGACGAACAGTAATATTGATGTAAGCCTCGTTTAGACTGTGATTCTATTGGAATCTCTGTCCTTGCTATCGCTGCATCTTGCGTAATGACATTAGTTGCAGAAGAATCGACACTGTGTTGTTGCCAATTTGACACAGGTGGATTATTGGCTATAACGGGTTGATCTATTGGATCCATGTCGGTTACTTGCTGGCTGATGTTATCTTGACTATCGATACTTGGCTGGGCTAAGTCTTGTATGACTGTCTTGACTTTATCGTCCAGTATTTCAGTCCAATCACAACCCTCTAAGTTCATAATATTATAATATTCAGTGTCTACCATAATATCCAAACTCTCAGCCACTTGCGTCGGAGATGGACTGTTGAGTGGTTGCTTGGTAAATATTTTTCGAAGAGAAGTTTTGCCCACATTGCGAGGGCCAATGAACATGCCTCGTATTAAATGATTAAAGCAATGACCATGTTTTAAGCCTTTGCTATATGCATTGTAATATTTCTTTTCTTGCAAAGCTGTAGAATAACAAAATGCAGAATAGGGTTACGGTTATCCATCGCTCTCTCGTCTACTACTGTATTAAAACTTCACTTACCTTTCTGTTGTATGTGTTGATTGTTCTGACTGCCGTCGATAGTATTTGCTGGCGCTGTAACGTTGTTGGTTTGATTCGGTTGAAACAGTTCAACGGTACTCTTGATGAAATTTCTCGCTGTTGATGTCGTCGATTTCTGCTTGCGGAGAGTGATTTCGATATTCTTTTTGGTCCTTGTAACTAGGCCATCATTTCTGCTTAAGGCTGCGATCTGGAGTGACTTGTTAAAGTTATCCACAGCCTGATCGTACTTGCCTTGGCGCTCATAGATAACTCCTATGCTGTTATATGACCGCGCAACATCAGGATGATTATGACCAAGGACTGACAATCGAATTTGCAGTGACTTGTCATGCATATCCACAGCCTGATCGTACTTGCCTTGGCGATGATAGACAAGTCCCATGTTGTGATATGACCACGCAACATCAGGATGATTGTGACCAAGGACTGACAATCGAATTTGCAGTGACGTGTCATACATCTCCACAGCCTGATCGTACTTGCCTTGGTGATGATAGACAACTCCTATGCTGTTATATGAGTTGGCAACATCAGGATGATTGTGACCAACGACTGACAATCCAATTTGCAGTGACTTGTCATACATCTCCACAGCCTGATCGTACTTGCCTTGGTGACGATAGACAACTCCTATGCTACCAAATGACCACGCAACATCGGGATGATTGTGACCAAGGACTGACAATCGAATTTGCAGTGACTTGTCATACATATCCACAGCCTGATCGTACTTGCCTTGGTCATCATAGACAACTCCCATGTTGTGATATGAGTTGGCAACATCGGGATGATTGTGACCAAGGACTGACAATCCAATTTGCAGTGACTTGTCATGCATATCCACAGCCAGATCGTACTTGCACAAGCGATCATAGACAACTCCTATGTTGTTATATAAACTGGCAACATCAGGATGATTGTGACCAAGGACTGACAGTCTAATTTGTAGTGACATGTTATACATATCCACAGCCTGATCGTACTTGCCTAGGCGAATAAAGACATTGCCTATGATGTTATATGAGTTGGCAACATCGGGATGATTGTGGCCAAAGACTGACAATCGAATTTGCAGCGACTTGTCCGACATAGTCCGACAGAAGTCAAGCTTGCACAAGTCGAAGTAGACGCGCCCAATTTGATAATAACTATCGGCAAGACGAGTATCCTTTTCGTCTAACCATTTTAATTTCATTTCCAACGATTTCTTAACGTCTTCCAGTGCTCCGATGTAATCCCCTTGGCGTCTCTTAATCTCACTTTCTCTTTGTAAACATTGAGCCGTGCTCACTTCATCTTGCAGTTTAGTAGCCACAGTTTGTCCCTTTTCACTCCATTCAACAGCTTCCTTGAATTGATATTGTAAAGTGTAAATGTCGCAAAGACCAAGATAAATATCGCATGCAAGTCGATCAATATCCGCACTAGGATTCGACAACGAAGCAATCTCATCGACAGCTTGTGTATAACAAGATAGTCCGTCCACCAACTGGAAGGCAGTCTTGAATGAGTTGCCCTTGTCGTACAGTGATTGTATACGGGTATAGTGCGGAAGCACACTCGTGGAACGGACAGATTCATCATCAGCCATCTTTTCCTGCACTCAATTCAATAGTATGTTAGTTAAAGACTAGAACGACAGGTTAGAGACAAATAAGATTCAAATCAAGCTTCGTCGCAACCATTAATTACTAATCATCGGATCGATATTATCTCTATGCATTAATGAGGGTATGTCGGAATGATTGTACTTGCGTGCCAGTCGTAGTTCAACAGAACAACATTAATTATTCCATTATACACAATTTTCAAGCATCAAAAAATCAACTTCTACAATGTCGCCTATTAATTCCGCATGGAAGATTATCCGAAAATCAATCTCTGTAGATGATTACTGAAGGCAACGCTATCGGACAATCGTGTGCTTACGTGTACATTAACAAAATGCATTCCAGCTTACAAATAGATTATACTCATAATCATAATAACCATCAAACAACAATCTTTTTATTCTAATAGACAACAGCAAATAAATGCTAGCCACATCAATGATAGTGTAAAATAAGAAAGGATGCTTGCAATATAGTTTCGTTGGCGTCGTTTACCTATCTTTAATTTCTATTTTTACTTGAAATACAATGTATAATGATGGATACCTAACGGAATAGGTTACTTACCAATGGATGTTTTAAAAATCGGCTAATAACAACTTGATGATTTTGCTGTAACGTAGATTTAATCCTACCAATCCGACTGCGCGCTGCTTATTGCAACAGGAGCTAATGGATAAAAAGAGAACGACAGGTGACATAAAACTCTACTCGGCTAAACAGCTCTATCCAACTGCATATACGCTAAATACACGCACTGATCAGCACATCTAAATACTACAGTGTATCAGCGATTACAGACTACTAACTCATTGGTTATTTCCTAACTATAAAAACTCCTTGCAAAGTCCTGCACGAGGAAGGGCACTATTGATAACCATGAAGCTTGCTTGCTAGAAATCCCAGTTAAACCTGCGGCTATGACACGCTTTTATTCGTAAGTAGTCCCTATGTGGATGATGCGATAGCCGACGGATAAAGGTAAATAAATAAAATGAAGGTAAGGTAAATAAATAAATTAGGTTTCTTTGCAATGACTTGTGCATAGGCATAAGACCTTATGAAATTAAAACAGCTCTTGTAGTGATGCACCCTATATTTGCTTGTAGCGATAGCTATATTTGATTGTGTTGTGTACTATATTTAGAATAGTTAAGTTTCTAAAAATAGATATTCTTGTGCTGCTAGATTTAGGTGACTGGTAACTACTATATTAGAAAGTGTTATTCACTAATATAGCTGTTAACTAATTATGGTACAGGACGTTATACGACTTGAAATACTAAGATTGTAAAGATGCCCAATACCTTACGGTGTTGGACATTAATGGTAAAGTAATAATATTGTAAGCAGTTTGATTAATACTGTAAAATGTAGTGATGATTCATGTCTGATTGTAGACGATGTTATTGCCTTAAATAGATTCAGAGAAAAGTATATAAGGTGTACAAATCTGAGCGTAAAGGTGGAGAAAAGATTTGATATCTAATTGAGCTCAGATTACTTTAGACTAGATTCTTGTGAGTAATTAATTATTGCTGTACTATTCTTTAGAACCTTGTAATAAAAAGCTTTTATAGTACTGGATTCCTCTGTGGACTAAAATTACTGTGGAAACGATATTACAGCTCTAATTTGTATTAGTTTATTAAATACGAGTTTAAGATTAACCTACGAGTATCTTCCCTACCGAATTTCTTATATCTTGTTAGCTTAGTAAGCCGTCAATCATGTTATTTGCAAAAGTTTGATTCCAATGAACTATTGCATGGGTAGATACAAGTTACCAACAAAATATCTTTCTCTCTAAGTAAGGATAGTTGACATATTATCCTTATCCATTTTCTTCTATTACAGTCTATCAATAAAGCTATCATTTTATCAACAATTTAATTGCAGTCTACCGTACGCTATTTATTGTCGTGGCTCCGCAGTCTGTGTTTATTGCAATTCAATTTGATAATGAGCTTGTTACTGCCATATAAAAGTCTCAAATTATCAACTATGAAATTCATCAAGTAATAACTTAAAGGGGCTACTGTTCAGGATAGGTTACTGATAGTAAACTGCGAGAAAGAATAGCGATGAATATTATATAACATAGAGACATAGAGAAATGATAGCAGTCTATTTCAATATGCTTCATTGACATTATTCGATCCATTGAATCTACTGTAGCTCAACAAAGAATGTCATAAATTTAATAAAAGATATTGCTTGTTACAAATATTATCATTTTGTATACAACGTTCGTAGTCCGATGATGAATCAATGATAAACATTTGCATGGTCAAATTGTAAGCCATGCTAATAAAGATTGTACAATCGCAATCATGAATTTTTTAGACTAACCAGATACATCAACAGCGGATTACAACATTGGATATGCAATAAAACGGATTAATCACTTGACTAATCAGCAGTAGCATATTCTACTGTAATTGGCAACAGGCATCTAATGCTGGCATTGCATTACAACAAGGCACTATCCTCTAAGTACTTACGCTCGCTGCATTCTCGCGCCAAAGAAGCTTCTTAGTTAACAAGTTCAGCTTCGATCCATCCTCACAGAACTCATTCTCAAGGGTAGGTAATCATTTCTACGAGCATACCTCAACAGTTTTCAACAAACAAGAAGTATTTTATGATCGGAATAGAGTAAAGTAAGATCAAATTAAAATCTCGTGACAGGATTGGCGTGAGTACTGTTTGGCCTGATTGCAAATTGCATGCTATAGATTCAAGATGTAATCCTCCATACGTACTGGAAGTACTGCAATCCATAGCAATTCCATATGATTACTACCTTAATTAATTTTATTCAATAATTAAGAATCAATGAATTGTTAATATACACCATTTAAAGAAAATTTTTAGTATACTTTTATAAACTGTTTGACAAATGACAGTAAAAAATCAACGGAATACAGTAGCGCACGATGAAGATGATATCAAGCGATTCAGCAAGATGGCTTAGTTATTGGCCTCATCATTGATGATGATCACCAATAAAACAGTGGCCAACAGTAATTTCTGTCATCGGAAGAACAATCTTCATACTAATTCAAGGAGGCTAAAAGATGCAACATAAAAAGAATCATCTACGCTTACTTCTCGTATGCACTAATTTGCACTACTTTAACATAGATGCCGAAGGAACGCTAATGTTGGCTTCAGACGATAGAGCTAAAATGGACATGGTTGGTACTTTCATCAACTACATGGAGGAGAATTACCAAGTCTATGCTATATGTGCATGCCTACAAATTATTTCTATTCAAAATAATATACCAATCTCAGCTCTAAAAATGCTGCACAGTGCAAAATGGAACAGAGAATTTGGAAAGTCTCCACGCTGCACTACGTTATTTTAAGTAAACTTACGTCTTAAAGCTTCTTAAACTGTTTCTACATGAAGTTGATACAAATGCAATAAGTTCAAAACCAATATTCAGTGATTAACTGGTAATATCAGAGTAATTTGCTCAACTCTGGTTAAAACAGGTCACGACATTTTAAAGGTGCACTAGCAGCACTACCATCTTGTATCAAGTACTAACTCCTCTAAAATAATCAAGACAGGAGCATTCTCTTAGAAGCTGATATGCTATCGAAACTGCGATTTGATGCAGTACACTAATGCCTTCTAGCTTATAAACTGTCCGTTTACTGTACAAGACTAATCAATTTCTCAATGAGGAGTACTAGAGTATCGTCTCAAACTTGGTTAATAGCCACAAAGGTTGTAGCCGCTCCATGAGCAGTGGCGCTCGACGATTACAGGAAAGGTGCCAATGGTGCAATTTTAAACGAACCATAGACGGATTCTACTTGATTTTATTCATTTGATCTTCCATTTACTCAAATTATTCAAGAGTCTTTTGCTCGTTTTAGCTCATACTGTCTTGATGAAATGTCGTACAAATTGGCATGGACAAGCCTGGAGCGAGATAGAAAGATCAAATACAGTCGTTGCCATAAATGTGAAAATTTTGCCTTGCCAATGTTACAATTTTCCAGCCTAAGGCTATATTGTTTGGTTCAGCGATTTAGCTATGGACCATTGACTATACAACTTATGCAAGGTATGTTCTATCGTAGTCATCAGGTGTTGTTACACAGACATAGTTTTGAACTATCTTCATTGGATTTCTTGAGTGGCTTATAACCAAGTAGAGAAATGATTGGT